TATTCATTCATATAGAACTGGGGTGCAGGCCAGAGATGCGAAGGGTGAGAGGCTTCACCAGAGACAGAGCGGGGAGCAGAACAGGCAGATAGATGAAGTACACTGCTGAGGAGAGCAGGGGGTGGGTCAGGAGAGGTCTGCCCCGCCACGTGGATCTCCTCGGGGCAGGCGGGATCGAACTCATGCGGAAGTGGCTTAAGCTTCTTAGTGCTGTGCTTTAACCCGCTGCACCACCAGGGAGGGCCCCTTTCTGACCTTTTTTTATGAGTCTCTCCCAGAAGGTGCTTTAGACTTGTGGTGGGCTTTCAGGCCTTTCTTTGGGCCAATCCCTTTTGGGTAGACTTTTACCCATGAGGGGGTGGGTGATTTAAAAACTATATTCTTTATGTTTGCTGTTTTGCACACTGTATTAAAGTTCCTTTCCATTAAAGGTCTTATATGTTTTGTTGCAGCAGATCGCAGAACCTATTTAGAACAGGCAGGTTTGGGGGTTCAGGGGTGTTCCTCTCCCTGCCCTGTGACAAAATGAGTCATTCACACAACTCCTAAAATGAATAACTATTATTCAGTTTTCTTTACTAGCTTCCAGTTTTATTAAACTTGGGACTTGCTTTTGAACTGCCTGCTGTGACATCATGTGGTCTTTATTTGGTGTGAATGCATATTTGCATATTATATGGCAGTCTTTGTCCTGCAACAGCTAAAGTAATATATCATTGCATCACATTGTGTCATTTTCTTGGTGTAAAAAACTAAAGGTATTATTCTGTAACAAAATAATAGAGTTTCATTGTTTCAGTCTTTTAGTTACTAAACACTAGGAGAGCACTGTCTTTATAATTGATGGTGATAAGACTCCAAGTGACTTAGTGCTAGAACAGTACTGCATTTAAATTAGCCTAAGCAAGAATTCCAATCTTGAGTTATATTGCTCTCAAACACACATAATGTGACATGACAAATCTTTGGTGTGGGAGGTAGGAGATATTTGGGAGCAGAGGTTTTTTTTCCCCTGGGATTGCTGCCCGTAGGCAGATTCACCCAGCATCCAGTATAAAGCCTTATCCCAGTCACAGTAGCTGGAGTGGCCTTTGAAAACATAAATCTGGGGCCTTCGCTGGTGGCGCGACTGTTTTAAGCACAGCACTGTGAAGCTAGCCGCAGCTACTTCAGCATGAATTCAATCCTCAGTCAAGGAGGTGACCCACAAGGCGGCAGACCTCTCCTGACCAGCTTGCGGCTCCCCTCAGCAGTGTACTTCGTCAGTTGGCCTGGTCTGCTCCCCACTCTGTCACTGGTGAATCTCCTTACTGCCCCTGCTTCTCTGGCCTGTACCCCAGTTCTGTATGCATAAATAAATCTTTTTTAAAAAGCATAAATCTGATCATGTCACGTCTGATTAAAGCTTTCAGTGGCTGTGCACTCCGTTATAATTCAGTCTAAACTTCTTGATGAAACTTACCTCTTCAGTGTTATGTCAAGCAACATCATTTAACTACTTCCCCACTTCATAATGAAAACTTAGTTTACCTATGCAAAACCCAAGGTTCTTTCCCATATACTTTCATATAGCCTGTACTATCTCATTGATTTCTCACAACTCTCAGATGCTGCCACAACCAAAGACATTATACTCCTTTTGCATGTAATAAAATCAATACAGAGAATTACACTTGTGTTCATAACCTAGCTGTAGATTTATAATATCTCAGAGAACTTTTAAAATATGGCCAAAGCTTGTGCTCCACAAATTCTGATCCCAATGGTCTGATGGAGACTCAACATCATTATCTTCCAAAATAGCCTCAGATTAGTTCAAGTACAGTCAGAGTTGAGAATCATTAGGTTACACAGAACTAAGCTTAAGACACAAATAGGTTAAGTAAAAGTAGGTATCATGACCTGCTGAATATTTTTCACCATTTCCCTATCCTCTATGCCATCATACCAAATGCTGTAATTATAGAATCTTTACTCAGAGACAATTTTTGCAATTTGTTTAATTATTGTACATTTCCAACAATTACAAAACAATTTCTTGGAAAATATTCTCAATATAGACTTCTTGCCTATTTCGACTGACTTGTTTCCTGAGTTCATACGAACTTGAGTTCCAAGCGCTTGTCATGCTATCTTCATGAAACTGCTGTCTCAGGCTACTAAAAATGGCAACTTATATTAAATACTCCCTCCGTTTTGTCCCCATCACTTTTTGGGTCATACCTCTGCTATCACACCCTGCAGATTGTATTGTCCTTAATCTGTTTTCAGGATTCCTTCACTCGCAGGCTGTGAGCCTTTCAGCACATATATTGGCTATTTCAGTCAATTTTGTGAAATGAATAGATGAACAACTTCGGTGCTCAGAACAGGTCTATGGCTCTGGGCTGAAGGGGGCAGACACTTGCCCTCCCATTTCTGCTTTCTGTGTCTTCTACCTCTCAGCTCTTTTGCTGAAGAGAAGAGTTTTCTCTATGAAGTCAAAGAGCAGTTAAGGTTTGATATCTTTTGATTTTAACTAAGCGTGGTATTGCCAGATTCTACGTTATTTTGAAGCAAATAACTGACATAATTTATCCATACATAATTCAATGTGTTCTTAAAAGATAAGAAGTCTTTTGATAATTTTTAAGAAGATTATTTATGCAGAACTGGTGTGCAGGCTAGAGGTGCAGAGGAGGTGAGAGGATTCACCAGAAACAGTAGGGAGAAGAACAGGCAGATAGACAGAGCACACTGCTGAGGGGAGCAGAAGGGGAGGTCAGGAGAGGTCTGCCATGCCACGTGGATCACCTCTGGGGTTGGGGTTCTAACTTGCACTGAAGTGACCACTGCTGGCTTGCAGTGCTGTGCTTTCACCCGTTGCACCATGAGGGAACGCCCCCAATTTTAGTTTAAATAGCTACAATAATTAATATACTTCTTTAATATCATAAAATATTCATTGTTCAAATTTCCAGTGGTCTCCTTATGTTTGCCCCCCTTAGGATTCACACAAATCTATTTCAATTGATTGGTGTCTTTCAAGTTTCTATCTCTTAACTACTTTCTTGAGATATCATTCACTGATTTAAAGTAAAGTCAATGTTATTTCATCTATTTCCTCATTTACTTCTTCATCCTTATATTTAAAAAATTAATTTAGATATAGTTTAATACCATAAAATACACCATTTTCAAGTATACTTTTCAGTAGTCTTTGGCATTGGCAAAATTGTGCAACCACTTCTACTCAATGATTTATACTTACAAAGTTATATAACCATCGCGAGTCTCTCTAATATATAGATTTCCCCCTCCAAACCTGTCTATTTCTCCAAACCTGTAATTGTTGAAGAAACTTGTTTACCCTATACAATTTCCATAGTCCAGTCTTGCTGTTTACATCTCTGTAATATATTTTTTCCCTGTCCTCTGCATGTCTTACAAGTTTATCATCAGATAAAGATGTCTGATGAAGTCCAGGTTCATCCCCCCCCCCCAACAAGACTACTTCTTAACATAGTCAATTTTATGTTCTAGAGGCACATATGTCTCATCTTCTATTTTGTGAAGCTGGTAATGGCTGATTCTCAAGAATAGATCTCTAAATTCATTAGGAGTTGCAAAAGGGACATATTCTATCATCCTTTATTACTCAGAACAATCCTATAAGAAGAAAATTTCCTCATTTATTTGGTTATTCAGTGAGGCAGCTTCTTTAGAAAAATAAACATTTATTTTGATTTTCATATTTTAGAGTGAAGGCTTTATTCCATTTACCAGACATTTTCAGAGGCAGTGGGTTATAGTAGTTAATGGCTAAAACACCTGCCTACAGGGATTGAAAGTAGGAAAATAGGAGGCAGAATCCGTGGTGATCTGAAATTTTCATAGCATGACTTAGAGGATATGCTTTCTCAGCTCCTGCACATTTCTCTATTTTCTCTGCTTCATGTAAGACCTCCCATATGAGGGTCAGGAAAAAAGAGAAAAAACCTCCAGATTTAAGAATCCTGAAAACTTGTTTCTCCTGAGGAATTTATGTGCTTTCCCTTATCATTAATAAACACTAGTGACTAATCTACATTTCCCCACTTTACACTGCGCCCAGCAAATTCAAAGGCAAATTTTTTGTTTAATTTTGGAACAATAGACATTTCTGATCTGCACATCTACGTTTTTCTTGTCCCTATCTTCTGTACTTGTTCCTGTCTTTATGTTGATTCCAGTTTTCTACAAGTCAAAAGGAGTTTGAATAAAAACATTTAGGTAGCCATCGGTCGGTCATCTGTAAGAGTACATTTTCCTTCGCATTCTCACTGCCGGGTGTTATTTTAAAAATACATATTAATGGCATATGCCAGAAATGGTTTCTTATTGGAGGTCTTAATTTGTGTTTTGAAGATTACTGGAGAGCTGGAATATTTTCCCATGTTTGTTCGCTGGTTTAAAATTGTGTGTTTGCTGGCGACGTGGCTTCCACCGAGGAAAGGAGGAGTTCAGTCGGTGGAACTGAAAGACAAGACAAATGAAACCCGGGAATATCTTTTCTTAAATTTAAGCTGACTCCGCCCAGGGTTTCTTCCTCCTCTGAGAGTCCTTTGTGTGTCAACGGTCTGAGAAAAGGAATCTCAGTCAGTAAAACTCGAGGAACACTGTAGTGTTCCCAAATATATATATACATTATGTGAAAATATCATTTCTCATTTTAGTGTTTAAGATTAAAGGTTCCTAAATCCCGGCTGTCGTTGGTCTCCAGTCGCTGGGACTCCTGCAGGCGTGGCCTCTCTCACTCGGTCTTCGATTGGCCCGCCTGATCCTGCAAGTCTCCCAGACGCGGGCTCGCTCAGCGCGGTGGATGCGAGTGTTGAGTGGCTGCTTTTGCCTTTCTCTGCCCCCCCCCAACAAGTTTTTTTTTTTTTTAGCCATAGCTATGGTTACCACGTCTCTCCCCGCCTCCTTCCACCTACCAAGAAAACGATTAGCTATTGGCTATCTGTCACCAAGGAAGTCAGCCATTGGTCACCGGGGAAGACCGGGCGCTCCCCCTTCCCCTGTCTCCCGGGTCTCTTGAGGAGCCCAGGAAGGAGGCTCCGCTAGTGCCGCCGGGCCAGGGGCTGCCGGGACCGGGCTGCGGCAATTGTTAACCGGTCATGTCGGCCGCCCAGGGCTGGGACAGGAACCGCCGGAGGGGAGGAGGCGCTGCCGGCGGGGGCGGCGGAGGTAGCGGGGGCAGCGGGGGTCGGGGTACTGGCCAGCTCAACCGCTTCGTGCAACTCTCCGGGAGGCCGCACCTGCCAGGTGAGTCCTGGGACCGGGTCCTGACAGCTTGCGGGCGCGGCGGGGAGGTGACTACTGCCCTTTCTTTTCTCCCTGGCTTTCTTTCCCTTGGGAGGAGGAAAGTCAGGCCCCACGTATAGCAGAGGGGCTGGGGATTAGAGAAAAGGAAAGGTGTTTTTGAGGTCAGGGAGGGATGAGGAACACAGCGGAAAAAGTATTTTTGCTCTGTTGAAAGCTCTGTGTTAAGAGTTGTGTTTTCTTTTCAAAGGAGAGACCGCGGTTACATTGACATTACCAAATGTTTCGCTTAATCGGTTCCCAGTCTCTGCTTCCGCAGTTTGATCTTGTAAAAGAAAGACATTGGCGTCCAGCAGTGGGAAATAGGGTGCTAAATTAAGGAGAGAAGAAGGAGAGAGCATTCCAAAGAGTGATTTTGTAAAAAGCACCTCAAGTTCGGTATTCTGAAACAAGGAAGGAGGAGGAAGTGTGTGTGTGGAGTGGGAAATGGCTGGGAAACAGGACCTAGAAATTAGGAACACCGAGTTGAATTATTATTTTGGAATATCCAGAGACATAGTGTGATATAGTGTTTGGATATTAAAGAGGAGTAAACGAACGCCAAGAATATACTTAGTGGCAAAATTAACGCTCTGTCTGCAATATGAAAACGACTGACAATTGGAAAAATATATCCAATGCCTTTGTTTTATGTTTTGGCCTGCAATTTTCTATGCTTGAATTTAGGTGTCTTATAAAATAAAGATAAATCAAATCCACATGAGTGTGCAGACAATTTTAAAGGGATGCATTTTTTAAGTGACTATTCAGTATGGTGGAAGGTAGGGAAGTAAATACTGCACACAATGTAAAGTATCATATTGGGCAAGCTTATTTTGACGGTGAATAGGAGAACTGTCAGGAATGATGTGTTAATAATTCACCTTGTTTTTTATGTGAATAATGTTGAAGTTGATTTTTATCAGTGATATTTGTTTAACTGATATACTTTGAGAACATGATTGGTTTTGAATTGTGTCTACTACCGTGTCTTGCACTTTTAAGTAATTAAAATTGTTTGATTAATTTGAAGATTCAGAAAAATTTACATATTTAATGAGACAATTGCTTATGCTTGTGATAAGGTTATTTATATGTTGGGAGCACACATTGACTAATTATATGCATCATTAAAGTTAATATCAAGACATTTAAATGGTCATATATATATAAGGTATACTGCCACAATTTGGGTTTGAGATGATGGTCACACTGGTTATTCTAAAATTGCTAAATATGTCATCTTTAAAATGAAAAAAGGGGGAATCTTCTTATCCCAAATTAATAACAAAATCCTATATTTTGTGTATTGACAGATTAGAAGATAAATCTCTTACCAAACATTATCACTCTTTTGCCTTCTGCTACTACAGTCTTTAGGTCTTTGATCTTAGATTGATTGCTATGGGCTTCATATTGGCATACCCAGGCTCCAAGAACCTAGTTGGTGCACTTCCTCGTAGCTACCACCTGATGGCAGTGGAAGCCATGGTTTCTAATAAGGTGTGGGGCTGTTTCTGCATTCCCTAAGCACACAAGGCCAGGAGCATCAGTTTCACCAGAGGTAAAGATAATAGGCCTCAAAAACTGTGAAGATTCAAGCAATAGGGTCATCAACCTGTTCTGTTTTCTTTTCCCTTTCACTGGCGCTTCACTCTTTCTTTCCCAAGGAGGCAGCTGCTTTTCCTCACTCTTGGAATTGGGAACATCTGCTATCTCAACATATACTTTACAATTCTTTCATACCAATTCTTTATTCTTCCAAGTATCACCTTTTAGGCACCCACTCCCTCCATTGTTTGAAAGACTTTATTTTGAAATGTTTAAAATGATTTTAGGTGATGAGGAGGATGAGAAATGGCTAGGCCTGCTTTATGGTTGACTCGAGGTAAAAATAATTTTATTTTTAGTAGAAGAAGCTAACTTTCTCTGTCCTTTGAAATCTGATTCCATTTTTGAGCCTTCTGTACCAAGACTTTCAGATACTGAGCACCCAGAACGCTTTCTTTTTGTGTCTCCACCCTCTATTTAGTCCCAGTGAATCAGAAACAATCGGGTCTTCCTGGAGTATTCACTCTTTTTTTCAGTAATATCTTCATAAATACAGTCACACAAACCAAACTTGGGCATCCTCCTTAACGTTTTCTTCTCCTTAAAGTTCAGGTGTCAATCCACCACCAAGCCCTATTTACTTGATTTCTGCCGTCACTGCAGTTCTTGCTGTGCTCATTCCTCACTAGGTCTCCTGCAGTAGCTTCCAAAGCCTTCTTCCTGCTTCTCTTGCCCTCCAGTTCACACAATGCGCTAATCTTTTGTACGCACTATCTATTCTCATATCTGCTTACAACCCTTTACTAGAGTTTTGTTCCTAGAATAGGCAAAAATCCTTACTGTGGCATTAAAGATACTGGATAGTCTGCCACCTTTCAATCTCCAGTTAATTTTGCATCATGTTTTCTCCCTCCAAAGGACACCTTTTACCACTTCTTTAGACATACCACCTCCAGCCATTGCACATGCCACCCCGGCATGTAGGAGCCCTCTCGCGCCTCATTCTATCCTTATTTTAACTTCTCTTCCATTGGTTCTCAGCTTGATCCCACTCTGTTTTTCAGGGGAGCCTCTCTAATGTTTCTGGCTCATTTGCTTCTCCCTGTACACACTCACAGCCCCATGTGGTTCTCCCTGGGCTTACATGTATTTGTATGATCCCTTGATATGTATGATTTGATACTCTTAATATACACACACAAGTATATATGTATATACAGATGTGTGCACATACTCATACGTATTTATTCTTTAATTTAAACTAATACTTTGACATTACATATAAGTAAGTTCCTTTTGCACTTGATCTTTTTATGGCTGATTCTGGAGGTAAAAATTTATCCCCTTAAAAGCCCCTTTGACCCTGGACAAATGGATGAAATAAAATTCTTAAATATATAAAATAGTGAACTAAACTTTGTGTCCATAGTGACAGCTCAGGTGATGATTTGTGAAACCTGGTTTGAGCAACTGCTTCCCTTTTGTTGTCTCTGAAAATATAATAATGAATATAATAGAGACTGTGTCTTGGCCCCAGAGGTCAAGACATCCATACTTTATCCATACCTTCTTAGTCCTGGATTTCTACCAACTCATAATCTCTATACACCTAGTAAAGAATAGGGAGCAGTGCTTTGTAGAATAGATAAATAGAAGTAGAGCTCAGGGCCAAGGAGACCATGGGAATAGGGAATTCAAGTTATAATTGTGATATAACTGAGTGAGTTTCATCAAATACTTGTATTATTAGCTGGGAAAGTTCAACATTGTTGCTGATATGAGCAGGAAAACTGACACAGAGGCAAAAAACTAACAAAACGGGATAAAGATAACATAGAAATCAATTTACAAAATAATGTGATTTATGTTTATGGATAAAGTCCAAATGGTACAAAAGAGCATATGACAAAAGCCGGGTTTTCCTTCTACTTTTGACCCCCCAGCTAATTTGTTTCCTTTTCTAGAAATAATCAAGGATACATTTCTTATGTATCTTTTCCTGAAGTGTGTGTGGGGCGGTGTGTGTGTGTGTCCTTGTGTGTGTGTGTGTGTGTTAAGTGGGTGGGGAAAGCCTTGTGTATATATAATTTTGCACACTGGTGCATCTGTCTTTAGAATACATTCCTAGAAGTACTATTGTTGGGTCAGAGGCTGTGTACTATTTAATTTTTGATAGATGTTAACAAATTGCCCTCCTTGGAGGTTGTACCATTTTATGCCCACTGTTCGCACGCTGGTGTTCTATTCCTATATTATCAGAATGGGTAATCAAACTCTTTATTGTCCATTTAGTAGGTATATTTTTCTTTATCATTTCAGTAGGCATAGGAGCCATATTCGTTTCCTTTATTTAACACATCTTTTAATTGTTAGTTATTGGGATTTTTTTCTATCACTTACAGGAACTTCATATTTTAAGGAAATTAGCCCCTCATCCTTGATACGTGTTGCAAATATTTTCCGTAATTTGTCATTGGGTTTTTGACCTGGCTTATGGGATATTTTTCTGCAAAATTTAGCAATTTTTTTAATAGTTGTAATTATCAATCTCTTGGATTTTAGGTTTTGTCATAAGAAACACCTCTTTCAACATTATTTCTAATGGAATAATTTCACTAAAATGAAATTCTTCCCTCCCCCCCATAAACATATAAATTATATTTAGTATTGAGGTAGGAATCCAAGTTTATTTTTCTTCCAGGTGGCTATCTAGTTATTGTAGTATTGAAATGTTATATATAGATTTCCTTAGTTCCTACATAGAATTTGGGTTATTATTCGATTAACAACCCAATATTTTATTTTTTTCTGTTTTATTCATCAGTTTACCCATTTGTATCTGATGATCCCAATTTTAATTATAATCCTCTCTCATTCTACTTTCCAGAGTTTTCTTGCTTGTTTGTTTTCCCCAAAACCTCAGAATTAGCTGTCCATGCTTCCCCCACCCCGTGCTCATTGGAACTGCAGTATATGTGTAGATGTGGAGGTAATTGTCATCTTTCTGGGGTTCAGGCTTCTGTTTAAGAACAAGGGCAGTTCATTTCTTGTTCCAATCATCTTTTGCATCCTTAAATAATATTTTAAGGTTCTTTTCATGTAGCCTTTCCACATATCTTACTCTGTATTCCTTGATATTTTGTCAGGGGTTTTTTGCTGTTATAAATGGTTTCTATTTATGTTATAGCTGTTATCTTGTTGTTTGAATAGAAGACAACTATTCATTTCTGAGCATTAGTTAAGTACCTACCCTCCTTTGGAAGGCTGATACTATCTGTAATTGTTTTTTAGTTGTTTTTCTAGGGTTTTGCAGTTAAATATTATTATTGTTACCAAATAAAGATAGTTTTGTCCCTCCCTTTCCAATTTTTTTGTATTTATTTTGCCAAATTGTTTGAGCTGATATTTTCCAA